AGAGAGAGAGAGAGAGAGAGAGAGAGAGAGAGAGAGAGAATGCATGTGTATGTGGTGTATGTGTGATCATTAATCCCAGAAGGGCAAAGACAGCATTTGTGCAAATGCAATCCCAGTTCAATACAAATAATACCAAGTCAAAATGCAAATCTGACCAGTGACTTTATCAGATGTACTAACCCATGGCTCACAATATTCTGAAGTGCACTTTTCTTTCTATTTTAGCATCTTGGAAATCAGAATACCCTGTGGTATTAATTACTTGTCTCACTGCTGGGGCAAAATGCTCAACAAAGAACAACTTGAGAAAGGAGGGCTCAGCTCATGGTCTTCCTTTAGTTCAGTCCAGGACCCACTATCCACAAGTGAAGTGTGTTTCTACTTCAACCAACCCAATCTCCACAACCCCTCAAAGGCTTGCTTGCCCAGCAGCTTGTGTCCTACGTTATTCTAAAGCCTATCAAGTTGACAATATTAATTGTCATAGTTTCATTAGGGGCACTTTTATTCTCTTGTCATTCCTCATAAAGTATCGTTGAAGTACTAGAGACGACTCAGAGGTTAAGAGTACTGCCTGCTCCGAACAGGTTCGGTTCCCAGCACCCACATGGCTGCTCACGACCCTCTGTAACTCTAGTTACACGGACTCCGGCTCCCTCTTCTGGCCTCCACAGGTAATGCATGCATATGATGCACTTGGACACATGTAGGCAAAACACCCATACACACAAAGTTGTTATTGTTTTTTTAATTAGGCTAAATCTCATGATGGAGGGCAGGTAAGATAGGAAGAAATGCAGGAACTGAGGCGGAAGCAGGCCTGGGGAGGGGGAAAAGCTTTCCCTCGACTGCCATAGCAACAAGTCAGGAGAGAATCTCTAAGATTAAGATAATGAAGACACAGCTTTTAAAATGTGTTGTTTACGAATGATTGAGGCAAACACCAGAAGTACAACTGAGACATTGGTTCACTGGAAGACACTATCTTGTGATTTTCGGAAGGATTTAACATGTGAACTTTTAAGGTACCTCTATGTGCTTGGAATAAAATTTTTTTAAAGGAGTGAAATTAAAAAAAAAAAAAAAAATTAAGTGAATTTTCAGGCTGTGGAAATCAAAGGGCTTCCCCACCAGCGTAGACACCTTATAGGTCCTTCTGTCCTCACAAGAGGTTGTAAGAAGTCAGACAATGCATGTCATCTTGAAGGGACCAGCTCCCCATTTCGGCAGCCATGACAGTAACATGTGCTCTATGACCTTGTCTTAGTCACTAGAGGTTAGGTGCCTGCCTCATGACAAGGAACCAATCAGAAGTTAGCTGGTAGCGCTATGCTTTATGGCTCTGGGTGTATTTTACAGACAAGCGCACAGCAATGACCAGAGAGCATAGCAACCACCCTGGGAGGGCCTATGGGCCATAACAACCAGTTGACCAATTAACACAGAGCAAATCCTCCAAGCCTGGAGGCATACCAATCCTGAGCCTGTGCATACCCCTAGACACTCCCCTTACGCTGCCCTATAAAGATCTGTACACAGCGGCTTCGAACTGTCTTTGCTAGCCATCTGACATGAGGGGTGGATCAAAGACCCGAGCTAACATGGGGTTAGCTCGTTAAACTACAATAAAGCCTCATGCAATTGCATCAAGCTTTCGCCTCCATTCTGTGATTGGGATGGCCGAGGTCCTGGGCTAAGATTCTGGAAGCCTGAGCTTTCCGAGGGTCTTACAATCTCAGCCTCGTCTTGACACCTTCTGATTCTCGGATGACATACAGCTATGTATTTGGGGAAAAGTGGAAACCTCAGTTTGCAGATGCTCTCATGACTCGGCTCTGGAGAGAGGAAGGAAGCTGGCGGTTGGTCCAGCAGATGGGGAGCCTCCTCGGCA